ACTGGAGTGGGCTAGACTGGACTGGGCTCTCCTGGGCTGGGCTGTACTGGACTGGAGTGGACTGGGCTATACTGGACTGTACTGTACTGGGCTCTCCTCGGCCGGGCTGTACTGGGATGTACTGGACTGGGCTCTCCTCGGCCGGGCTGTACTGGACTGTACTGGACTGGGCTCTCCTCGGCCGGGCTGTACTGGGATGTACTGGTCTCTCCTGGGCCGGGCTGTACTGGACTGTCCCACAGGAGGCGGAACCGGACAGCAGCTCTCTGGGACCCCCCCCGACTGACCCTGCGCCCCCCAACAGAGAGGTCTCTTCTGTATCATTCACTTCGATTTCACCACTCTGATGTGGGTTCGTCTCCAGTGGCCTCAGTTACTTCAGACGCTGCAGCACCTTTGGAACAAGTAGAGGTCCGTCATCATCATTTCACAGCCTACAGTTCGGTAAAGTTAATTGTGTCTGTTTCCTGGATAAAATGAGTCGGTTTGGCCTTGGGATTTATTGAGAGAACATTTAGTAAAATAAGCAAGAAAAAAAACGTTTTTGGAAACTGACCTGCAGACATACTGAATGAAGAGTTCCCCATCGATCTGCTATCTGGTTCAGCTGTCACAAACAATGATGGGAAAGATTCAAGGTAAACAGGAAACAGCTGCAACATTTGTGGCATCAGAAAATGTCAAATTCAATCAGAATGAGATCTGAAGAACCTGTCAGTTGTTCAAATGTTTTGTTTTCAATGTCATGTGTCTCCCTTCTCTTTCACCTCATGGCTCCTTTCAGAGTAATCTTTAGACACTACACAGGCTGCCTGCCGAAGGAAATATTGGGATACTGGGGTCTGGGGTACTGGAATCTGGGATTCTAGGATCTGGGGTTTGGGATCTGGGATATGGGGATACTGGGGTCTGGGATATGGGGCTACTGGGATACTGGGGATACTGGGGTCTGAGGTCTGGGGTGCAGACAGCGTCTCACCCCGTCTTTCCACTGGCTGCCAGCCCCAATCACAGGCTGGAGTGGAGCCTCCTTCAGGTGAGAGAGATGAGGTCAGTTATAAAAGCCATGTGATGTGGAGCACTTGGGTCCTTTCCACCGAAACATTGCGCGCTCCTTAGGATTTCAGATGCCCTGCAGTTTCCACGGGCGCCGGCCCTGGTCTGGACTGTGGACGAGCTGTTTTCTCTTCGGGATGATCCCAGTGGGGCTGTCCGAGACAGAGGTTCCCCGCCAGCGGCGCCTGGGACCCCCACAACGTCGCCCCCCGCAGGATGGGACCGGTAGGAACAGGCCATTTATTCTCACAGAGGAAGCAGGGCACTGCAGAGCTTCTCGTGCCTATGTCTGTCCTCCCCCACAGGGCTTCTCGGGATACTGCAGGGCTGTCCAGCCACCACAGCACTTAATATAACATCTAGACTGGCAACGTACACAAGAGAGAACGCAAGGATGAGAGGCTGTAGAGTGGTGTTGTACCGTGCGGTCAAGTTTTATTGGATTGAACTTCGTTCAGTAGGAGTGACGTGATTAGCAAACCAGACGTCTTTGTGTGTTTACGTTGAGCTGGGCACGAACTTCAAGCTTGTGGTATCAGCATGCAAAGCCCAGTACTGCTCTACACTCTTCCAAGCCACACACCTCAGCTTGGAAGAGTCCCCAGGTCTCCAGCCTCTGTTCATGCTGTGCTGGAGGACTTGAGCTGTTCTCTCTCCTCAACGGGGCCTCATCAGGACAGATCATCTGGACACACGTGGGAGTTCTGATGGAAAAATCGAATATACACACTTAAACACTTGAATTCAACTGTTCTTCTAGATGAGTATAAATGTGATTATTTAATGCATACTGTTCATGCATGGAAGTAACTGAACACGTACTTCCACTTTATGCATACTTGATTTTGATGGAGGTGGAAATTTGTTTTGTATTCGGAGATGCACCTGGAGAAAGCAGGTCAGCTCACTGATCCAGACATTGTAGAATCTAGCCTGGGTTTCCTGAACACGACTGTGACTGGGAATCTCTAGCAACAGGCACAGTAGGGTGGGAACATCTCACA